TAGAAAGCTCAAAAACCAAATCAATATTTTACTCAAAACCTTGGCCAGGAAAAGGTCATATTTTCTTGACTGATTTTCCATGGTTTTGGGAAAATCAATCAAAAACACATAGCCGCAGATTGATTCTAATCAAAAAGCGATGCTCAGGGACATACCCTTATTGAAGATGCCAAGACTGAAGTATTGGTTCCTACACAAGCCACAAGCAATCCTACAGCGGAGGAACCGCCAACCATCCTACAGCGGAGGTATACCGCCGAATTGAACCTACAGTGGCGACACCGCCCGCAACAAGACAGCAAGACCTACAGCGGACACACCGCCTCCACAGGAAGAATCTGTCACAGGAAGATGTCTGAGTCTATACATATGCTATGTATATATATTAACATATGTAAATATATCAGAAAGGAGCGCTCTGAGCGGCGCGTTTTTGCATTGTTTCATTTTGTTTGTATTTTGTTAAGGCAATTTCCAAAATTCCAATTTTCCAAAATTCGAATTTTCCAAAAAAACCAAAGGAACCAAAAAAAAACAAAAAAACCAATTGTGCCAGGACTTTGCCTCACCCCCTCTTCCCCCCATGGTCTGTGCAGAATTGTTTTTTTGGGTTTTTTTTTTTTTGGTTTCTTTGGTTTTTTTGGAAAATTGGAATTTTGGATTTTTTGATTTCCTGGGATATTTTAAAATTTTCAATTTCCTTGGAAGTAGACAATACTCCCACTTTCTCTCAATTCCAGAACAGTTTCTGAAATCAAATGACAAAAACCCTCAGTGATTTGTTCATTAGGGTCTAATAATGCTCCTTCTGCTCCTTTAACTCGAAAATTGGTAATACCTGACATTTTAGAATTATAACCAGTAAAATTGACATCTGCAACTTTTTCAAATGACATACCAATAATGAATTTGTTCTCTCTGTATTGACGATACGAAAAACTTAAACTGTCATGTACTGTATAGCTCTGCTTAAATAGTAAAAGGTTTATGATAATGATTGCGCTTCAAATTCTGTGTATTTCTGGGAATTGCTTAATTGAATTTGCCAACTTAAACTACGGGTGGCATCTTGAAAACCTTTGTACCTTGTAAGTCATTTGTATCAGCATTGCCAGTATCATTAATTCTTTCATAGATCATAGGATTGTAAAAGTAATGCCATCTCTTATATACATAATTGTCAGGTAAGTATCGGTTCAGATCTTCACCACTCCTTGGAGTTCTAAATAAGGTAATGAGTGCTCCAGTCAGTTTAGAAGATGATTTTACAATATTCATATTAATTTCACCACCACCAGCATTGAATGTTTGGGTGATTGTGTGATAACAATTTGCAATGTTTCTTATTTGCCATTCCGCCCCCTTCTATGTCCTGCCATTCTGACACTCAATGGCTGACAAGTAGCACCAATATAGACATCGTCATTTTGTCATTTAGTATTCTGTAAATTTTTGCCTTGGAGTAATCCACCATAACATTACATATTTTAATTAAGTTTAAATGTTGTTTTTTAAATGAGTGATTGGGGTTAAATCCATTGCTTATACTGGTGCCGGGATTGATGTTCCAAAGGCCGTTCCCTTCAAAATTGATATAGCTGTGGCTCATTAAAGGGTTAGGTTCTTTCAAATCAGAAGTTACAGCGTAACCATCCAACATTGAAACAATATCGGATGGATTGCGGTAGTCAAGTCTTTTGGGATTTTTGTTCCTTTCCTTTTTGTTTTTATTGTAGGGGTAGCATAGGTTGTTGTAGCAAATGTATTAGGTTGTTCTTGATTGATCTTATTACAGCACTTGCAAGGCTATGCCCAACCAAACGGGTTATTTCTGGTGACTTTTCCAATTCTTCTATAACATGTTTGTATTTCTCACTGTGATGAACATTTCTAGTAGGTACTAATAACAGATCATCCATAATATCCCTTGTTAAAGATCCATCACAACCACCTGTGCCACTTATGTATAAAGTCTTACTTGTTTTGTAAAAAGCACTTGGTGATGAATAGGCATTCCATAAGCCCCTGCGGTCTTCTATCTTCTCCTTGTTTGCTATATTTTTCTTCAGCATATAGTGTTCTATGTTGTTTAAAGTGATCATTTAAGTTTCTTGTAAAGTCATTCATTCTATCATTCCAGTTTTGGTTCTTTTTTTCATAATCACTGTAGGTTTCTTGACCGATCTTACTGAATAACATCTGGGCGCTTCCAGGCAGATCCTTCCAGGCAATGTCAGACACATCAATCATTCTCAAGAAAACGCATGAAAAAGGTTGAAAAATGCTCATTTTCATCGAAAAACGCGCCGCTCACAGCGCTCCCCTCTCAAATATATTTGCTCCACAGGAAGTACACCTTTTTTCGAAAATGGACTTGGACCCTCCATCCCAAAAAAGACCCGACTTCATCTGACTACACCCCGACTACATTCTGACTACATACGTCGTCAGAACGAAGTCAGGCCCGACTACATTCTGACTACATACGTCGTCAGAACGAAGTCAGGCCCGACTACATTCTGACTGCACGCGTCGTCAGAATGATGTCAGATGATGTCAGCCAACCCCATCCATTTTAGCTTTTCCTTCCAAGACAGAGATTATCACACCCTGCTTGGCAGGGATCCTGTACAAGCTTGTTATGTACAAATGGACAGTCAGCAAAGTAAAGATCAGGCCCTGGTCTTAACTTTGTCCTGGCGAATGTCTGTGAAGCGTCCTGCTTGGCAGGATAGCTTGTACACAGCTTGCTATGTACAAAGCAACAATTCTTTCCAGAAAGAGTTGTTGCACGAGTAATGATTCAGTCTGTCGCAAACACCCTGCTTGGCAGGGATTTCCTACAGCGGACAACCGCCAACATGACCTGCGCAACTCCTTTGACGCAATTAAGTATACTCAATGATATAGTGCACGTATACAGCCGTCAAAATGAACCGAGTCAGAAAATCTATTCAAAAAGCAATTTTTATCAGACAAAAATCAAAGTCTATTCAAAAAACCAAGAAAACATCAAAAAACAGACTTTACAAAAAAACATCAAAAAACCAAGGTTTTGTAAGTATGCTTAAGTGCGCAGTTAGAAAATATTTTTCAAAACCTCGATTCAGAAGATATAAAACGCTTACAAACAGAGCATGTGCACTGTATCTACTAAGCTTAAGTGCTGCCGAACACTTACTGCAGCTTACGCAGTTTTAGACACATGTATAACCTCAGTTGCACTATAACCCGTCCTTGTGGTACTTGCGATGGCCTCCAATCTACTTGCAATGTCCTCCAATCTACTTGCGATGGCCTCCAATCTACTTGCGATGGCCTCCAACCTACTTGCGATGGCCTTCAATCTACTTGCGATGGCCTCCAATCTACTTGCGATGGCCTTCAATCTACTTGCGATGGCCTCCAATCTACTTGCGCTGGCCTCCAATCTACTTGCGATGGCCTTCAATCTACTTGCGATGGCCTCCAATCTATACCTGCGATATCTTGCGATGGCCTTGAATCTACTTGCGCTGGCCTCCAATCTACTTGCGATGGCGCCCAATCTACTTGCGATGTCCTTCAATCTACTTGCCATGGCCTCCAATCTACCTCCAATCTACTTGCGACGGCCTTCAATCTACTTGCGATGCATGGCCTGCAATCTACTTGCGATGGCCTCCAATCTACTTGCGATGGCCTCCAATCTACATTGCGCTGGCCTCCAATCTACTTGCGACGGGCTTCAATCTACTTGCGACGGCCTACAATCTACTTGCGATGGCCTCCAATCTACATTGCGATGGCCTTCAATCTACTTGCGATGGCCTCCAATCTACTTGCGATGGCCTCCAATCTACTTGCGATGGCCTTCAATCTACTTGCGATGGCCTCCAATCTACTTGCGATGGCCTGCAATCTACATTGCGCTGGCCTCCAACCTACTTGCAATAGTCAGAGTATTTATTCCCAATTGTAATAGCTTGGGTTGTACTCATCGAGCGGGCACGGTTGGATCAATGGCGCCCGGCCGTCATGCTTTGGTGGTGTTCGGGTAGTCACGTGAATTGGTGCTTTGATGTTGCTGTTGTTCTTCTGGGTTTTGTGTTGGTGACGCTTGTTCGCCAGTTGCTGACTGTGAGATACATTGCGGCTGCAAGCACAACTACAAAACTGACAACAGTGAGAGTGCCACCGGGGCTCAAGCTGGTCCTCTCCGGGGTGAATCAGGGGCACCAGGGGATGGTCAGAAGCACCTTGATGTGAATGCACAAACTTCCCTTGTGATTTTGGAGATGGCCACTTTGGGACGAATTTTGATGCCTTTGACTTTACTGCAGATAGTTCTCAAACGAAAACCTAATCTCTCTTTATATATATATATATATTAGCCAAGTGTACCATGGTGGACCCCCGCACAGCTGCGGCACCGCAAACTGCCGTCAGTTGAAAGTGGGAACTGGGGGGGCGTTTGGGTCATGTGTTGGTGTTTTGTTGCTCTTCTTGGTCTTGGGCTGGTGACGTCTCTCGCTCCCCCTCTCTCTCTCTCTCACTGTGGCTGAGTGGCAGAGGTGTTTCTTTTTGCAAGAGCGGCGCTTTAAAGATCTGTCGCACGAGCATTGCAAACTTCGTCTTCAGACGTATTTGAGCAAGTGCTTTGCTTGGTGACAAATCTTCTCGGATCTTCTCGGTAGATTGTAGAGGCGTGACCCTTTGGCTGATGCTACTGTATTGGGGTTGTTTGCCGGGCTAATTGCAGTTCAGGCTGAAGCAAGTTTGTTCACTGTACCCGACTCAGGCGTCCCATACTGCTTCTTGTCTGATGAGTCCTTGCTTTCGGGTCAAGAGGCGTGGGCTCCAAGCTTTCATAGCACAGTGGAATCTTGCTAAACTCCAGACAGCGGAGTTCTTGACAAAAGCTTGTACTAGGACGCACTGACTACTGCCGTCGCTGGTCTTTTCCTGTCCTGGCTACATCTCAGGCACAGTGGATCCAGAGTTGGACTGACGTGCATGTTGGAACACACCAATGTGAAATGATATGATTTTAATGCTCTTCTTTGATCTGTCTATCCCAGGCCTGAGCCTGATTCCAACTTTGCTCAAAAGCTGGAAGGTGTTGACCGCCTTCTAGAGGACAGTCTTGTCTTGTTTTCAGTGCTGCGGTTCTTGGTTCCGCTTTCCGTGGTCTGGCAGGTTGGTTTGAATGTTGCAGCCATGCCAGCGGAAGCGGTTCTGCTGGCATTTGTTTGATTTTCGACAGGTCTTGTTCATGTGTTCCAGTAGAAGCTCCAACAGGTTCCAGAATCAGAAGACAAGTCTGATTTGCTCGACTCCTACTGCAAAGAGTGCCCGGAGCTCACAAAGAACTGTGCAGGCAGCCCAATCAACCTTGAAGCATTTGCTGGACAGCCTCTATCCACCAAGGACGCTACTAGGGGCTCCTGGCCTTACTACTAGGAGCAAGGACACTACTAGGGGCTCCTGGCCTTACTACTAGGAGCAAGGACGCTACTAGGGGCTCCTGGTCTTACTACTAGGAGCAAGGACGCTACTAGGGGCTTTTGAGCCGGCGCCTTCGCCGGAGTGCCAAAGATCTCCAACGTCCAGGTTTTGCAAGTGGCGAGGGCAGGCAGTTCTGTATCACCATGCTTCAACACTTTTCAATTAGTTGATTGTTACCTGTGCAAGATGGTTCTAAGTTAAGTCACATGCCCTGGGAGCAGGCTGATCAGCAGCCTTGTGGCTATTGAAGAGCAACATCGGGCCATGTTTCTGCTTCAAACGCAAGGACCACAGTTTCAAGAGCAGAATAGACTCCGAACATCTCCGAACACTCCAGGCAGACTGAAACTCCCCAAGCCCGCCATGCCCCACCCGTGTGCTGAAATGTTCTTCCAGCACACGGAACCACTAGGCGCTTGCGCAATTTGATCGCTGAAGTCATGGTTCGACGAGCCGGAGACTTGCAATCTCAGCAGTTCTGTCTTTGTCCCGTAAGCTTGACCATTTTATCAAATGTACCAGCTTCACTAGGTAATCTCTCGCCGCAGATTCAAAAGCTGCAGTCTTATGAACGCTGCTTTGCGTTTGCGTTTAGTCGAGCTGGAGCGGAGCTGATTGAGAATTGATTTTGGCTGTAACAGGTTCTGGCAGTGGTGTCCAACTTAAGCAGTGTTTTTCTTGCAGGAAGCTTCGCATTCCATTCCATCCCCTTACCGTAAGTTTGAGTATCAATCTAAGATGACGCCCACACGATGGTGTGCTTGCAAGAACTTGTGCGGGATCAGGCACAGGGGAATTGCAGCGGTCAATTGCCGTTGGCTTCCGGTCGCCAGGATTGGATCATGTTGACTGAGACAGAGCATCCAGCCACAAGATCAGCACGTCCACAATCTGTTGCTCACCACTGAGATTTGCAAGATTGCACTTGGGGAATATGGGTCCAAAATTGGCGAAAAGTAGAGCAATCATTGCAATTGAGTCATTGCACGATATTGCACGATGCACGTGTCATCGGTCACTTCAAGTCACTGGTTCAGAAGATTCATTTTGTACCTTTAAACCTCTTTGATTGAGATCCTCTTTGTTCCCAGGTCAAAGAGAAGCGTTTGCTTGTTGCCCAGCTCTTTGATTACCTTTCAATCCGTGTCTAAGCTGCGATGATAATCAAAGTTTGCCACTGTCCTAATGCTTCACATTAAAGATACGATTTATGTAACTTATGTATACTTTCTACATGCTTGGAAAAGTGGAGAATGTAAATGATACCCCTGGCGTATGGCTGCATCGCTCTTTTTTTTTTCTACGGACCCCGCTAAAAAGTAGCTGTCCTCATGTAGGGCAGAGGAACCTGGACAACAGGATTCCATAAGGATGCAGCACTTCCATCTTGTTGATGTTGATCAGGAATTTACAAAAGTATCAATATGTTTAAATGAAATCCTTTGGTGGCTCCAATGGTTTAGGTTTTGGAGTACAGAATGATACGTGGTTTTATTTGGTGTTTTTTTTAGTTGCGTCTGAGGCCATAGAATGCATACAACAGGGAAACAATCCCAATACGCCACAAGAAGACAGGAAGCAGGAAAGTAAAGAAATGCAGTAGAAGAGCTGGGAAGAGCAAGACAAGTGCAAAAGAAGCAGGAAAAGCAAGAAAAGAAGCAAACACAGAAAAGCAAAGAAAAGCAAGGAAAGGCACGGAAAAGCAAGACAAGCACAAGAGAAGCAAGAAAACAAAGAAAAAGGGATAACTTGTAGAGACGCAATGAAACTCACCACCGCAGACCAACAAGGCACCAAACTACCAAGAATCCCGTCACCAATTTTCACCCTAAGAGGCCTATTTTCAGAACTGTGTGGCACATGTTGATGATGTTTTCAGCACCCACAGTTTGTTCTTGGGGAGGGCTCAAGCTTTAGCTGTTGACAAAGTCCCTTGTAATTGAGCAGCTTCAAAAACCTCTATGATGAAAAGTGTGCAAACTGTAATCTCACATTCTTTCGCGAAAGCCAAAACGCAGGTCGCGAAAGGTTCGCGAAAGCCCCGCGAAAGAACCCCAGAAGAACAGCGTCGCGAAAGCTTTCACGAAAGTCGAATTTCTTATGCATGTCGTGTTGTTTATGTGGGTGACCATATTTTTATGCAGGCAGCCGCAGCAGGCCAGCCAGCCAGCCAGCCAGCCGCAGCACACCAGCCAGCAGCAGCAGCAGCGCTGAAGAGCAAGTGTTTCAGGGGAAAATCGAAAAGCCCAGACGAATTTCCGCGAAACCCGCGCGAAAGCCTCGCGAAAGAACCGCGAAAGTCGAAAATATCCGGGAAAGGTATCTGGCCCCAGCAAAAAGTTTCAGCAAGTTTTCCTCCTCTTCTGATGACAACAGTAATACTTGAACGGTGCTGCTACAACTCCTTGTGTCAGGATGTTGCCGGAAAGAAATTTGTTCAGTTTTGACCACCCTAAGGACACTTATATCGGATAACTTATATAGATCAATCACTTTATTGTACAATATCCCAATCGAATTTCCCAATCGAAAACGAATCGCCGCGAAAGCCGCCGCGAAAGCCCCACATAACACCACACCTTCCGCGAAAGCCAGAATGCAGGCCGCGAAAGCTCCGCGAAAGCTTTGCGAAAGCAAACCTGGATTATACAAAAAAGTAATAGGGGTTTTCGAAGCTGCTCAATTGGCGATGAACTTTGTGTAAAACAAGATTCTCGTTGTTGGGGACTTTGTGGGTTGCGGATGTGGTGATGTCTTCATCGTTTTTCTGCAGACTTACTGTCAGGAGGACTGCCTTTCAAGCAACATGGTTTTAAGTAGCTCATTCTCATTCCAAAAGCTCTTTTGTTTCTGTGAGGCATCCAACAAAAAACACTAATCGCAACAAACAAATTATCGAACACATACTGTAGTCCTCCAATACAACTGATCCGAGTCGCCGCGCCTGATGTGGTTTGTGCACATACGATCGCTCGGTCGACAGATGACCAGATGAGTTTATTAGTTTTCACGTTTTTCAATCGGTTGAGTTGCAAAAAGAAAGAGAACAGTTGTTTAAACAGTTCGCAGTGTGAGCTGGCATGGGGAAAGCAGGGGAGAGCAAGAGTTCAGAGACGAATGTCTTTTATACATTTTTCCTGTTCTGGGATGTTCTGGGTCCAGTATGAAATCATTAAACATTTGGGTTTGAACCTGGAGGAGAACGTGGGGAGGATCCAACAAAGATCTGGGGCGTATTTCCTAGGGATTTGACTTGTGGGCGCACAGAATTTTAACAGCTTTCTGTTTTGAAGCACTGGAGGGTACAGCATTTCATCAATGTCCGCAATCCTGTTTCCCCAGTTCTATAAGTCCAGCCTCAGCTGCACTACTCAGTGGTATGTAAATGTTGCTTGCAACTGTTGCTTTGTTTTGCATGTATGGAGCCAGCAGATCTGAGGTGGACCACGCGGAGAGCGGCAGGCCAAGAAGTCAGACCTTGTGAACATATTGAGAGTATTTGAGACCGTACTGAAGAACCAGACTCCAAGTTCGAAGCAGCAAACTGCGAACCGCAGGCAGTGACAAGGCACAAAAACGACTTGACATGTTTCCTTGTCTAGCCGTTGGCTCCAGCTACCTGAGCAACACTCCACCGCGACAGATCAGACACAAGGAGTCTCGCACTACATTGAGCATGCACAACTTATATGGGAAGATGTTTGGCTTGGCAACGAGACCTGACAAGATGTTGCCCACGATTACATCTTTGGGTGCTCAGTGGGTCGCTTGACAGAAACAATCCCACAGACAAAGCTGCCAATGTAGCCAGACACAGTGATGCAATGATGCTGCTTTGAACCCATGAGCAACTTGACATAGCAAGCTCAGTTTCAGCAGGACTGCGGCTGTGGCTGTAGCACAAACAAGTTGAAGCAATGCATTGTGTCAAGCGAAAACCATGGACTTGAAGGTCCACAGAACTACCCCTTGTCTCCGACTCTTTTTTACTTTAAGTGCTCTTGGTTTCAAACTTCTTTTCAGTGCTGCAGCAGTTGATGGCGTGGTCGAACTAAGATGACGAACTGGAGACCTGCTGCGTTTGCCTTGATGCTTTGAGCAACTGGCCAGCATCGTTAGCAAAGGCACTGGAAAAAACTTGCGAGCAGTGGACGTCTGAGGATGTCTTCGTATCGCTTTTGAGGCTCCGCCCCATCATCGATCCTTGTGTCAAGCTCACATCGAGTTTCCAGATTGCAGTCAAAAGTGCAGCTGTTGCGTGCTTTGTTAAGTAACAAGAAGCTAAGAAGCTACTAGTAACAAGGTGCATCGTTGAGTTTCCCTAAACATCTAGGAACCAAATCATTAGTGCGTGAGCTATCCTGCGTCCTAAGCAGTAGCTCCTTAAGCTACTACCTACCTCTTCTACTAGCTACCTAGCTACTACCTCTAGCGGCCTACCCCCCCCCTCCGTTCTGTTTCACATCTTGGCCCTGAATACCCTACTGCAGTGCATCATGTCAAGCATTGCGCGTGCTCCACTTTTCTTGTCCAACAGGGAGGTCCGCAGTTGACCTCCTTCCACCAACGTGTTCGGAGGCTTTTCTTTATATAAGTCAGGTCACTGACCTCCAACATGTGTAAGACTTTGTGGTAGTGCTTCATGGAGATGTGGCTGTGATGAAGGTTTGCCACCACTTTATCCACACTTTATGCGCCGAGAAGCTGAGTCCACGCAGTCTGGCTAAATTCTCAGAATGTTCCTCCTTTGATGAATATATCATCATATATCATATATTGGAGTTAATATATTTATCCACCAAGTCGTGGCTGGTAGAGTCATCATTTTCGTCCTCGGGTTCACGATTCGACATGACTTTGAACTTTGAATGCTCACTCATTTGCATTGCTTGACATTCACGGGTGCCCTTGTTTTTATAAATGCATGTCACCATTACATGTTCATCACTTCTCTCAGGAAAGTGCCCTCTATGTCGACAGTGCTTTGCGCACGTGTCAGTCCCTTTGGACCAGCGATGGCTGTCGTCCACAGCACCCGAGGAGAGAGAATCCACATTTGCCAAAGGGCAAAGCGTGTCATTGTGATCCCTTGGCTTTGGGATTTGAAACTTGTTTGTTTGGCATCAGGAAATCATTCGCGGCCTCCGTCGTCTTGAAGGACTGCCAGAGCCATCTTCAAATGAGGCCTGTGTGAACAAGCTTGCAGGACACAATAAGTTTTACAGAGCATAGCATGTGCTTTTCTGGGAGTTGTCTGAGCGAGCCAAAGATTTAATTTAAAGACTCGAGGTGGAGAGGGCCCCAGCGCAATGTGTCATTGAGATCCTTGCGGCAACACTTCCTATACCCGAGGAGATTCTAATGCAGGCTCGGAGTGCTATGTCTGAGGATACGCTTGTCACTCAAGTCGAGCTGGCCAGGTTGCTTGCCAGTCACGACGATTTCATTGGAAGTCTTGACACGCATGTCTTCACTTGTTGAAATTGTTTTTGCAGGAGCTTCGCACCCACGAGGAAACAATTTCAGCCGAGAATTTCAGTCAAATACTGCTTGGCCTGGGAATCCAACCGCTTCAACCACAAAGGATTGGAGTTTCGGCAGCAAGATGAAGAAATAGTAGTTTGCAAATTTTGCAAGTGTAATGAAGTGTTTGCCCGTTGGATTTGTGCCGATTTGCGTATACATATATATATAAATGTATATAAGACATATAAGAAGAAAGTGACAGAAGTGATAGGTGAAAGCTTGGTTCCAAGACACAAGACTCTGGTGCGGTACTCTTCATTGCGACGCACGTACTGGAGGCGGAGTCAGAACAAAGCAAAGTGAGGGATGTGAACACGTTTGTTTTGTGAAAGAAAGGACAATTGGTTTTTCTCTTTTAAGAGAAGGATGTGTGCTTGTCTCTCTCTCTCTCTCAGAGTCTCTCTCTGTTATTTTTGGTGCTTCAGACTTCGTTGGCTTTCCTTAAAAGCCTGTGGTGCAGCTGGTGCGGGATGCTCGTGGGGTGCAGCTGGACAGTTCATTGAACATGATGCCTTCCTTTTTATTGTTGTTTTAACTTTAAGTTCATTCTTCAACATGTTTGCAAAACACATGCTGCTCTTCACTGACAGATTTCAGGACTCTCAGCAGGCGTGCTGCTGGGTGGTGCAGCTGCGATTCCACATCGTGCTTTGCCTGACATGCAGGCATGTACAGCGAGCTTTGGTCCTAGGCTTGTCATGGCATCAACAATAAATAAATCACTAGATGTCACTAGTCGATGATTTTACAAGCTTATTGTGAGACCCACGAGAATCAGATGATCATGGCAATCAAAGCAGCTTATTTCGGCGGATTGCTACTCTATTACGGTATGCAGCGCTTGGATCTCGTAACTTGGCCAGCTTGATTGTAGCTTTGACCCTGCGAAACTCTATTTCCCTACCTGCCAGGTGAGAGTTGTTAGATTGTATCAGAGATGGCATCCTCGTCCTTCTCTTTCTCCTGCAAGCAGGGCCTCAACTGCAAGGGCTGGATCGCAGTGGGCACTGCCGGACCTCAACCACCAGCGATCGATCGCAGGGGGCACCGCCAGACCTCAACCGCCAGCGCTCGATCGCAGTGGGCACCGCTGTGCCTCAACCGCCAGGGCACCGCCGGACCTCGACCGCCAGTCCTCGATGTCGCAGTGGGCACCGCCGGACCTCGCCAGATAGAGTGCCAGAATGCATGCCAGTTAGAATGCCAGAGTTTCTGCCAGATAGACTGCCAGAATATATATATATATATGTCAGAGAGAATGCCCGAGTCTATTCAAATTCAAGATACAATGTGAGCACGTGTGCCAGATAGAGTGTCTATATACGTCTATATATACATATGCATGTCTCTATATACATACATATATATATATGTATATGCATGTCTATATAGTTACACAAGATGGACACTTTCTGCAATGACAGAACAAAAGACGAAATACATGTGAAGCCGCACACGGACCGAAGTCGGACCATACGTCACAGCACATGTCAGGCTTCATGGCACTTTCGCACGCGCACAGGGTCGGTAAAGACGCAGCGCCTAGCATGAATTCCCTAATAAAACATGCAACTGGCCTCAGAAGTCAGCCTACTCGGGCTCCTTCGGGCCCCGCAGCATACTTCACTGGTAAGCGTTGCAAAAAACAACAAAGCCGCTTGAGCCGGGCGGTGACGTCCCGCCACTCATGCAACAAGGGCGAGTCAAGATTCAGCCCTTTCCAGTCCGGCAGAATAAGTTACTTTTTTGGCCGCTGCCAGAAGAAGGCCACAAAAACGTTTAAAGCGCTGCAAAAACAAGATGCGCATAGCAACTGTGCATGCCGGGGCCATGGCAGAAAACGTCAGTGAGGGGCGCAAGAACATGAGCCAGAAGTGCGTTGAACCTTTGAATAAGACTTCAGGCTGACATGATGCATGGGTGCTTGCATCTGCAACGTAGCTTGAAGCTCTTTTGGTGGCAATTGCATGTATACAGCTGAGAGTGGCAGTTGAAGGAGTGGTAGCGAAAGGCTTTGCAACAACTAAATTTCCTGTGTGAAGGCTTGAACAGCTGTGAGACAACAGGCCTGTGGCAAGAAGCACTTTGAGCTGTGCCATGATGTGTCAGAGCACAAACCAGACTTGATGCCAGAACAAACGTTTTTGTCAGGCTGGTCTGTCAATGCATGTGCCCTGCCTTCTTCCAAATCGCCTTTCACTCGAAGTAAATCTTTTTTGGAGCCAGATTTTGTTCACTATCATCCACCACTTGCGCTTCGCTTTCATTGATCATCAAACTCAATCCCACTTGCTTCAAAGTAGGACCTATAGCCGCCAGGGATTTTTGTTCTGTGGAACACATTGGATATCCAATCCCCCAAGGGCAGGGCTGCAGTGATCACATTCGGATGGTTGTTCCCGGTTGCGGTGACGCCGGCCACGTCATGCAAACGACTCTACCCTTAGATTCGCAAAGTTAAACTGTCAAACGAGAGCCCTTTGTTACACATTAGGGAGTGGAGGGGCGTTTTTTTTTCGGGATTTTTTAGTTTTTTTGGTGTTTTTTTTTCGGATTTTGCTCTTGCTGCGTTTCTGCTTCTGCTGTTTTTTTGCTTTTATTGTTTTTATGCTTTTGGTTTTCTGCTTCTGCTGCTTTTGATGTTTTTCTGCTTCTGCTGTTTTTCTGTTTTTTGTGTTTCTGTCTTTCTGCTCTTTGCTTTTGTTGCTTTTCTGCTTTGGCAGCTGTTCTCCTTTCTCTTTTTGTTTTTGCTTTTCCATCTGTTTGCTTCCTAACCTTTGGATCTGGTGTGCTACTGGGGGGGGGCGCTGCGCCCCCCCCCCC